ATCATTAATTAATTTTTATGATAGATTTTGAGCCAATTTCAATGCTGAGAAAAATAATAGAGCCATTCTATTTAAAAGTTGGCAGAAACCTGAGGTCATTTAGTCTAGCCACATCATTTTGCAGTTGAAGTTGCAGCCCAACAAGGTTTAATACGTGACCTACAATCATACAGTTAACAGTGCAAAGAATAGGAACATTTGCTTTTTCCTAGTCTAGTGTTCTCGTTATTAACCAACACTATAAACAAAAGCTAGAAAGATTTCATTTTTGCCCTGATTCATTGAGTTTAAAATTGTGAGGAAGAGTGCTTGGCCAAAATTTTTATGTTTTGCTAAACTCCAAGTGTTACAATAAATAGTTTTAAAACATTTTATTGAAGCAAAATGCTACCGAACATACATATTCCTGAAAAACCTGCATTTATTTATTGAATCATAAGCCATATGATGTTAGTGCAAATTAATTGATTATGAGGAAATGTTTTCCTCATAATCAATTAATTAATCTGAAACTGTTCAGATTACTAATGTGAATTGTATGATAATTTAGCAGTAGTCAAGGATTGACAGAAGTGAACAAAGTATCCTCTACTCAAGTGAATAGCCACAGAACAGCACTCTAGTAAAGTTGTTTTTTACATAAGAGAAACAGCATTGATAATGATTTTAGAAAACAAAAACAATAGCTTGAATTGACTTAAGAAGAAAGAAAATAATTTTAACAATGTTACTTGGCACAGAAGAATATTGATCCCTCTACGTGTGTGTTTGTGTGTGTATGTGTTCGTATGTGTAGTTATTTACTCAAGTTAGAACCAAAGTACATTTTAAAAAAATAATCAGCAGTATTCTACCTCCTTGAGAGTGAATAAGTATTCTGATGGAAAAAGATTTATAAAACCAGCTTGTATAATGGTGGGTAGGTATGACCTACCAAACCCATGTCTCTGCTGGGTGATCCATTGGGGCTTCACTACTTTGCATCTTAATGCATTCGTGTCCTTCTTGTGTCCACTTCTAAAAAATAAATACCTCAGAGAGTTAGGTCATTGTTATCTAACTCTTTAGTAAGAATTCTTTGAAAACTATTGTTGGCTGGATTGACAGCTGCTAAAAGCAAGGCTTTATGGAATAGTCTTTGGCCTAAGAGTCAGATGGGAAATGTCTGGGGCAACTAAAGGCTCTTATTGTAACAGGTCTGCAGCATGAAAAGACTTGCCTGGCTCTTTTAGTCAGAAATTCATGAAAATTTCTCCATGAGTGACTCTTGTGATCTTTATGGAGCATTGCAGTTTTCCATGACTTCATCAGGGTATATCAGACAGTGATTAGGATATACAAAAGTAAAAAGTTTATTTATTTTCCTGAGAAAGAAAGAAGGAGAGATAGACAGAGAGAGAAAGAGAGAGAGAGAGAGAGAGAGAAGCCATGACACACAGAGAGATGAAAGTTGCTTGGTGTTTTCAAAGGGTAGAAATGTTTTTTTCCCTCTGTATCCGGGTACTGATAACAAAAGCAACCCTGAAGCTGCTCTGTTGGCTTTTTCTGTTTCTCACCTAGCAGATTGATAGCAGAAATTAGTTTCTTTCTTCTTGGTAGTGGGAGGCATCTGGTACTGTCTCTTCTTGAGGAAGCAGGGAGAGTTCACACTCCTACTGCCCGTTCACTCAGGAACTTTTTCAAGGCTGAGAAAGAACTCAGAGATAACAAGTTAGATCACATGTATTTTAATTAAACAAAGGGTAGTTATGTTGTGAGTTTATTTCTCTTTCTGTTTGATAGTTTATTCTCCTCTGTTAAATAGATTATTAGCAAGACTACCTTTCACCTGTCTCACCTATCTCATTATTTTATGATTTATGTGTCCAGAGATAGAGAATATAACAGTAAACTGGAAAAATTCCCTTTTCTCTTGAAGTGTATGCCCTTTTCTTTGAACCTCAACAACCTACTACCATATTCATGGGTGGGAAAATTAAAGTCAGGCAGGTTGTTTTTTCATTTCACTGGCATTCAGGTTTATCCTTATACTTATTGTAGTGAGAGGGATAGATGTATTAATAAATAAGGAATCCAAGAGACTGTTGACTTAACTATATAGAGTTCTGTGTCATTTTTCTGCTGCAGTAAAAGAAAAAAAAATAACCCCAGTGGGTGATGAGTGGGAATATGGCAGAGACCATACCAGTGACTATGTGAGGTGTAAACAAGTTGGCAAGGAAATGAGACTCCTCTTCAGGTGTGGCTGTTAGAATGGTGAGACTGCCTTGAGTTTTCTACCAGCATTTCTGCCCCTCACTTGCTTCTTGCCTCTTTTTCTCCTCCCACTTTTTGATATTTGGAATGCATTCATAATAATGAGTTGGAAATTCAAATCGTGATCCTATTTTAGGCAAAAATCTTTCAAATTGGACTGAAACTAGCCCATAGACACTCTGTAGAGCATCAATTGCCTCTGGTTTGTTTGAGATGCCTGAAATTACATTGGCAAGTGAACAGAGAAGCCAAAGGTGTTAAGAAAGGTACAAACACTCTGTGGCTTCTCTTTATTAACAGAAATTAAGTTTTACCAAGTAAGTTTTACCCAGATGAAGATATTTTGATTATACTGGAAAACATATAAATATTCTACTAAAGGCCTTGATTATGACATTTTATTTATTATTGTTAGACTTCCTGCTCTCTGTGTATGTGTAGCATACCTTGGAAGACTTGGTGACCTATGAACAATGTGTTTGAAAAGAGGTCATAGGAGGACATCATTAAGTAGTAGGAGAGAGCTTTGCGTCTGAGTTAGACAAATTGGAATTTACATCCTAACTTTGTCCACTTACTTTTATATAATTTTGCATAGCTCCTTTAATTGTTTTTTTGCCTCAGTTTCCTCATCTCTAAAAGATCAATAATAATATATTCTCTTGGGTCATTAGGGGTATCAACTAAAATACAATTCATGAAACTCTTATAAGGTCAAAAGCATGGTGAGTGGTGCTAAAATTCTATGTTATGGGAAATATTATTTCAATTGTTCATTTCCTTTAAGTTACATTGTGCTGAAAGATTAGAATATAACCTATTAAGTATGTTCCTTTTATTTTAAGCTAATTTAAATTCTTGATGGGAGCTATTTAGGCATACATTATAAATTAATGAATTAAAACATCTTGCTTCTGTCTTTTGTATAATTCTTAATCTATCATAGTTCTAAGTGACCTTAGAAAGTACACCTCTAACAACACGTTATCTTTGTAAATATTAAAAGACCAATTGTGCAAATGTACATTTGTTTACTAAATTTTAAATCATCTAAATTCTGAATTTGGAAATTTGAAGCCAATAGAACCAACTAAATATAATTTGCCTTTTTGGATGGAAAAATCATGTAATTGTTGTGCTCATATTTTTTCCAAAGTAGACAGTTTTGTGCCAAATTTTCTTTATTCAACATACTTTACAAAAAGCATATGGAATAGCTTTTTTACATCTTCCATCAGGCATGTGGAGGTTGGTGAGAAAATAGATCATAAGAAAACATTTTAAAAATACATGAAATACATTCAAGATGTTTAAGAAAAGCCAAATGCAGATTTTTCATGGCCTGGCATATTTAGAAGGAGTGAGAAAAATATTGGATCCAAAGACTTGATTATACTTTTGCTCAAATTACTAAATATAAATAAATAGTAAAGCAATATTTTTTTCTGTTTTCTATATTTTTCATGGTTCAAGGAAAAATTATTCAATTAACTTTTGAGTTAGGCTAATGACTATATTTTAAGTGTCTTACAATATTTAAATCAACAGAAAAAGCAAATACTGTTCTTCTGGACCAACAGCTATATACAATCACATATCATTATATATTAGAAATTTAAAATCTTATAGTCATTGAAATCCACACAAATAATAAAACTGGGGGAATCAGGAAAAATTCTTTAGAATCTTTTTCATGTTCCTTTAGCATGGTGTCTGAACATGTTTTACATGGTCATTTGTCTACTTTTGTAAAAAATAAATAAGAAGTTGAATTATTTTATTTGTGGATTCCTAAGTTTGGACCACGATATTAATAATTTCAAATACATTTCCTCACTTAAGTGTGATAGCATCATCATATACTGATGAAGTACAATTGACAGCATTTTATTTTTCCAGTTGAGGAAACTGAGAACTAAATATATTAAGAAGCATATCTAAGATCACACTTTTATAAATTGATATAGTTGGAATTTAATTTTAGTCTTTGGATTTGAGAGCTAAGTTTTTTAATCGCTAAACTATACTACTCTGTCATATAAGAATAAATTGATAATCCAAGAGGAGCCATTATTATTGAGTCTTGTTACTTTCACATGTACTGATATATCTTCATAATTGAAAAGACACATGAATGAGAGATGTATTGTCTCATTTTAGTTTAAAAATAATCTAATATTATTTAATATCATAGAAGTTTATAGATAAAGCAACTATCTCTTTAAGATTTAAAGAGTTAGATGATTTTTTTTCAGATCAAATAAAGATAAGTGGCAGAGTTGAAACTTAAGCTTTCTGATTACTTACATCTTGATGGGTTGTTATTCTACTTGTGTGAGTTGCTCAGTTTATACTGATTTATACACATGCTTTTGTATATTTCTTCCTTTAGAGAATGCCATGAATTCATAAACTTACTTAAACATGTAATTTTCCCTCTTTATTCCCACAGAACTTTATTTCCTACTATTTGACAGTACATGTTAGTATGTATAAAAACACATGAAAAAAATTGAAAGTAGTCCTCAAAGACCTCAAAGCCTAATAAAAAATAGAGACAAGTAACCAATTGTAATGCTATTGGATAAGTAATTTCCTTAATACTATTAAAAACGATCTATTATGGAAACCCTGAGTGTTCATTCCCCATTTTACTGGGGCAATCTGGAAGAAGAGATAATTCTTTAGTCCTTTGATAGCATAAAGCTAATTACTAAGTTGGCCAAATAAATAAGTGTGTTTTAATCATTTGAATTAATCAACTACAAGGTTATTCAATCAATAAATATGCTTGAGGCAGCTCTGTTGGAGAAATCTTGCAATTAAGCCTGTTGCTCTATCACTTGGCCTCTGCCCTTAAGGGGACTCACAATGATGTCAAAGAAATGAGAGGCCACATTTCAAAAAAACGTTAGTTCTATCAGGGAAGGGAATGTCTTGCTCTGTTCATGAGTATATTCCAAGCTATTATAAAACATGGCTCCAAATGAACACCCAATGAATAATTATCAAATAAATGACTGAATGATTAAATGAGCATAGTGAAAAAAGTGAACTTTGATACCTGGGTTCAAATCATCATATCCTCCAGCTACTTTTGGACTTTGGGGTTTTGGGAAATAAATGCATCCAATTTACATAGTGGTTCTAGGGAATAAAAATAATTTATGTGAATTATAACGTTTTGTACTTATAAAATACAAAAATTTTTAAAGTTTGTAAATATAAATTAATATAAAAGTTGTTCAGCAATATCATGAAAAACTATAAGCTCCAAAATGTTATAGAGATGATAAAGTGCTGAGTGAGTCGCAGTGCTAGTGCAGTGAAGTAAATTTGAGCTTCAGAGCTAGAACTTGATTATATTTCTGTCTCCTGAATTTCCTATCTATCTTTTTGGCACTTTGTTTGACTTTCCTATAATCTTTAGATAGTAATACTTACCTTATGGGGATTAAGAGATAGAAATTTAACATAGTGCCTGAAATATAACAGGGATTCCAAAATGATATCTGGTTTGTGATTTTTGTGAATCGAAACAGTCAAGGGAAGGTTTACGTAGGAGAAAAAGGTTGAATTAAATAAACAAACAAAAGAACCAGATAAAGGAACAGAAAAGTACTGAACTACTTGGAGAATGGGAGCACATAAGAAAGTTAGCAAATTTGTATGGAAAATTAAAATGTTTAATAGGTAATATATTTAAGCCTTCTAAATGTTAATAGTAATAATCCTTTTATTATATCACTTATGGATTAGAAAAGTAAGGCTTTAAATAAAATTTGCCAAAGGACATACATCTATTGAGTGGATTGCCAGAAATTAGTAATCTACCAGCTTGGTATTTTTCAAAGTGTGAGTCATAGATACACTCGTATTCATACCTGTGGTACATTAAAAATGTCAATTTGCAGGCTTCATATCAAATATACTAAATTAGGATAGCTTGAAATAGGGCCAGGAATGCACATTTTTAATGATTGAGAAAAATCTTATGGATATTGCAATTTGAAAATCATTCCATTACCCATGCCATAATTATTTAGTTGTTAGCCAAGTTTTAAACATATTGCTATTCATATTAACTATATCACCCTCAGTTTTTCATCTATAAAGTGGGGAAAATAATAGCACCTGCTTTACATAATTATTTTGAGGATAATATAAATAAGCATATATAATCCCCTCAAAACAAAATCTGGCAAATTGTTATTGTTCAATAAATGTTAGCTACCATTGTTATTTAGTCATTTTCTTTAAGATTTCATTAAGCTAGAAGGGCCTTGGAGACCACTTTATGCATTTTAATCAATACTCTCTCCACATTCATTTTCTCAGACTGAAGAATTCTAATCTTCTGGTTTTTCATGGAGGCATTCTATCACCTTGGCCATTTAAATTATATCTTCCTGAGCTTTTTTCATCTGCATCATATCTTTCATTTCACTAGCAATCACACCATAGAATATTGGAGATAAGTCTTCACCATAATTTCATAGTAGGATAACCTTATATTTAGTGTTATTTTCCCACCCTTCTTAATGCTACTCAGGTTTCTTAGTCTTTTGTGTACATTGGAAAAAAGCCAAAATCAGTTAGTTTCTCTTTCCTGTATTGGAACTAAAAGCCCAGAGACCATCATCTTTAAAAAAAGGTGTAAATTTCTTCTCTCTAAATGCATTATCTTAATTAAAATAATAACACTTTATATTATCACAGTGCATTATGATTCAGAAAATCCATTTGATCAGAGCCAGAAAGGTACTATCTCATTATATAATTTTAAATACCCATACACACACACACACACACACACACACACACACACACACACACACACACACACACAAAGCCAAATCAATTATTTTTTATCCCTCATTCGAGAACTTATTCTACAACTTACCCCAGCTTATTCTGGGGTAAGATTTAGTATGATTCCTATAGTAAATATATCCTGTTCGTGATAAAATAGACTTTTGGAGGTATTTTTGAAAGATTAGGAACAGAGGAAGTATATATATCATTAATTACTAATTGTGATTAAACCAAAGTCTCCTGACTTCCAACTTAGTTTTTTTAACTGTGCTCAAATGAATCTTGGTGGAGTCACAGAGATGATCTGGACAGCTTGGTTCATGAAGTATGAGGATGAGTGGAAACTAGGCAATCAAGTCTTTTAGCCCCTTAACCTGAAAGCCTGTAATTCCATATGTTATTATGTGGCATAACATTTTACTTGAAGAAAAAAGATACCATTTTTAAAAATAGGATTGTAAACTACTGCACTGAGTAAAAGACAATTAAAATAAATGATAAGAAATCAGATCAAGAAAAGTATTTAATAAGACTAGGTAACAGTCAACTCTAAAATCTCAGGGACTTAAAATTGTGCTATATATTCAACAGAGACCTGTGCTCCATTTTGTCCATATTTAGAGACCATCTTTAGCATCTCTGTTTACTCTAACAGAGAAAGAGAAATATGACATAACTCTTTCGCTGATGCTCAAAGTCTTCTTCTCAGTAGTGACAAAAGGCACTTCTCTTGATATTTCATTGCCCAATCAAGTCACATAGTTATTCCTACCTGAAGAGATAAAGAACTTCTCCTCTAGGCCATGATGGAGAAAAATTGGAAATATCAGAAAACAAAAATAATAATCACTGCAAGAGCCAACTTTATGTAAGAGAGTATCTTAGTCCATTTGTGCTGCCATAACAAAATACCTTAGATTGTGTAATTTATACAGATGATACATTTATTGCTCACAGCGATAGAGGCTGGCACAACCAAGATCAAAGCACAGGCATTTGGTGTCAGGTCAGGACCTTTTCACTATAGCCTTATAGGGCAATATAAAGGAAGGGCACAAAGGAGTCTAGCTAGCTTCCTCCAGCACTTTTATAAGTTGCTAATCCTTGCCATGAGAACAGAGCCCTCATCACCTAATTACCTCCTAAAGGCCCCACTTCTAAATATTGTTACAATGGAAATTAAGTTTCAACATAAATTTTGGAGGAGACAGAAACAACTAAACTATAGGAGAGAGTATGGTGAATAAATTGAAAGATATAAATACCAACACAATCTCTAAATTCATGAATCTTAAAAGTGTAAGTACTTTCTGTTGGCGCAAGATTGATTAACTGATTCATGTGCACCTTCATCATAATCTGGATGTATAAAATCAAATCTGCCAAGACGTAAAAGTGAAATATTATGGAAAATTATACTTGAAAGATAGATGACCATGTGTACTATTGTAAAATCCTTCAACATCTCTGTTTCTAAATTTTCATGCTATAAATTATAATTGGACAGGCAACCAACACATAATTATACAAATAGAATCACATCAAGTTAAAAAGCTTCTGCACAGCAAAGGGAAAATCAACAAAGGGAAGAGACAACCCACAGAATGGAGGAAAATATTTGCAAACTACTTATCTGATAAGGGATTAATAACTAGAATATATAAGGAGCTCCAAAAACTCCATAGCAAAAAATCAAATAATCTGATGGCCAAAGGATGTGAATAGACATTTCTCAAAAGAAGTACAAATGTTTAACAGGTATATGATAAAATGCTAAACATTATTATTCATCAGAGAAATGCAAATCAAAACTATAATGAGATATCATTTCACCCCAGTTAAAATGGCCTTTATCAAAAAGATAGGCAATACTGAATGCTAGTGAGGATGTGAAGAAAGGGCAACCCTTATACACCATTGGTGAGAACGTGAATTAGCACAACTACTATGGAAAATGGAAAGGAGTTTCCTCAAAACACTAAAAATAGAACTACCATTTGACCCAGCAATTCCACTTCTGAGGATACATCGAAAGGTGTGGACTTTAGTATATAGAAAAATCATCTGCATTCCCGTATTTATAGTAGTAGCACTATTCATAATAGCCAAGATATTGAATCAACCTAAGTGTCCATCAGGGGATGACTGGATAAAGAAATTATGGTAAATATACACAATGGAATATTATACAGCCACAAAAAGAATGAAATCCTGCCACTTGCAACAACATGGATGGAACTGCACAACATTAAGTGAAATAAGCCAAGTACAGAAAGACAAATCTTTCATGTTCTCACTCATATATGGGAGCTAAACATTAAAACCAATTGAGCTCATGAAAACAAAGAGTAGAATGATGATTACCAGAGGCTCAGAAGGGTGGCAGGGTGGTGGGCAATAAAGTGAGGATGGTTAATGGGTGCAAAAATATAGTTAGATAGAATGAATAATGTTTGATAGCATAACAAAGTGACTGTAATCAACAATAAGTTAGGGTATACTTTAAAATAACTAAGAGTGCAATTGAAATGTTCTCAGCACAAAGAAATGTTGAATGCCTGAGGTGATGGATACTGACTGTAATTACCCTGATTTGATTAGCTCACATGTATGCCTGTATCAAAACATCACATGTACCCTATAAAGATATACAACTATTATGTACACATAATAATAAAAAATTTTAAAAATATCATTTTTTGAAACATGTGCTCAAGTTTTTATAAAATACCAAGAAAAATATAAGTATTTTTTTAAAAAAACCAAGGGTTTACTTCAAAAAGGCCCCATTTTTGGTTTATTGTTTTTTTTTTTGAGGAGGAAATTTTTACTTATTCTTTTTTTGCATATACTTTCTGCAAATGTGTGATAAATAAATCATCATGATTTGCATCTACAGTTAGCACAAGTTTGAACCAAATAAATACAACTTGACATCTAACCCAAGAAGAGTTGTAAAAACCATACATCAGTTCAGCATGTGCTATGTATTGAGCACTGTGCTGGGCACAGGAACAGTGGTGGATAGATTCATGCTTGCAAGGTACTCCCAATATCCTCAGAAAAAGTCAGACATGAAAATTCTTTCTTAAAATATATGAAAACATGTAGGCATAAAAATGTGCAAAATACTTTTACGCACACCTAAATGAATGAACAAGTCCACTTTTCTATTTAATGTGTAGTGTTGTGATGTGGGTGAGAAAAAGGAAGGATGGGAATAAGTAAGAAATGATTTTATGCGAGAGACTCTATTCAGGGTGGCTCACCTAAGGTATCAAGTATTAGGGAGTGCTAGAGGTAGAGTTGGAAAGTATTTACACAGAGATTTA